AAATTGAAAATTTTGAAAATTCAAGATTTTTGTATGAAAAGTTAAAATCTTAGCTGAACACTCTTGAGACATAACAGTTTGAAGAAATAATAAAAACCCGAAGTTTCAAAAAATTTATTTTCAGCAATAAATTAATATTCAGTAATAAATTCAACAATAAATTAAAATTGAAGCCAAATCTAAAATTGACGCCAATTTCGTACCTTAATATGATTAAGGGTTAAATAAGTGACCTAACGTAATACCAATTTAAAATTAAAAGTTGAAGATTAAAATCGTATCGCAAAAGTGTTCCTGACTTATGCAACTCGCGAAATACATAAATAATAGAAACGGACTGGAATAGTAGAAAATATCTTTCAGAACGAGTTCCCGTAAACCGCTTACCGCCCCATTATTCGAGCATCGAACACCGTGAAGCTTTTCGAAAAGTTTGTCCGAACGGCGCCAGAAGACGTACAAGCTTGATTTCGCGTCACGAATCGGAGCCAAAAGAAGTTGGAAAAGTATAAAACATAGAAAAGAAAAGGAAGCTATTTCCGGTCGAAGAGGTCCGGTATCGGGCCCGTAGAGCTACGAAATGACCGACTTAAGGAAGTTTTAGTGCGAGACAAACCGGAAGTGATTCGGCTACGACCAAAACATCTCTTCCACGGCCGCTGGAAGAAAGTTTGCTCCTACCCACGGCTTTTTACCTCTTCCCTTTTTTGGCCGGGATTACGGGCCTCGGACGAACATCCATTCTCGTTTAACGCCTTTATTTACCGTCCGTTGCTGTTCCTTTTACCCTTTTCCTCCTTTTTCCACCGGTACATTTCTCTTTCGCCTTCTTAGCTTTTCGCTCGCGACCTATTCTTTCTCTTCTCTCTCGCGTATTCCTCTTTGTCCCCGAGTGGACGCTCGATTATAGGGGTTGAAGAGACTTCCACTTGTTCCTCGTCTTTGTCTGCTCGTTCGTTTAATTGTTTGGATGATGGTTTACTACTTAGTGGATTTCATTCCCTGGATGTTGATGATGAAGTGCATCGTGTTGTTCTTGTCGGGGTAAAGCTTATTATTTCGACGAACGTTGTGAAATAGGGCCCTTTTGCTGCCACTTGTAATTTAGGGCCTGATAGTCTGTTAGTAATTTTAAATACCTGGCTCACTTACGTCCTTAGCCGAGTTCTCCTTCTTAGCTAACACAGTTAGTTCCTCATTAGAACCTATATATCTATAAATACATCATACTGCTTCGGACTTTTTATTTGAGAAACCCTACAAGTGATCAAATAACAAAAGACCACAATTTATCAAATTTTCTGTCTCTTTTCGCCATTACTTCATGTATCTGTCTTCACCGTCTTAAAGAGAAGAAATGCAGGGTAAAACGTCGTTCGTGCGCATCGAACAGTAAGAGACAGTGTCGTCATTTACAAAGGAGGGAACACGTATTCGGTTTCCATTGTAGCGATAAATTTCCTAGGGAGCAAAGTGAGAGATTCAGAGCTGTAAACCGGGTGGATTATTCGCGAGCACCCGTTGCATAGAAGAACGGATCGTGTGGCGAATAACGTATGAGCTCCACCGGGTGCAATCGCAGCTCGGAGCGTTCCCCGCGGATCGACGGCTTTTCCCTGGCCCCGGAACATTTTCCACTTTCGATAGTCAATGCCTCGAAACGTGAAAGTTTCCACGACGCGGGAGACGCGAGTGCTTCGTGAGAGAATTACGAGGAAGAGAGAGAGAGAGAACGCATTAAGGCTTGGTGCATCGCTGCGCGATGGATTCAACGAGCCGGGAATAATAACGATCCTTCGATTGTACCTGGCTGATCTCGTATTTCAATTTCGATCGATCGTTTGACGAGCGATGACGAATCGGGAATGCGTGAACCGACGCGTTGGAGAGATTGCTGGGAGTTACTTAAGCATTTTGAGCCTTTCTTGACGAGCACGCGTTTAGTATCCTTAGTAAAATGGTTGAAATATTGTCGATTGTGAAATAGTCAAATAATAATGTGATACTGTAGGAATATATAAAATTATTCATTGTAATAATATGTATTTTGTAAGAGCATGTTATATGCAGTTAACCCTTGTAATGTTTTGTTCATTTCGTAGAAAGTGGGGTAAAAAATAAAAAATATTAATGTAAAAGTGTAATCATCATCTATAAATTGGATATAAAATAGTCAAATAATAATGTAGTACTGTAGCAATGTATAAAATTATTCATTGTAATAATATGTATTTTGTAAGAGCATGTTATATGCAGTTAACCCTTGTCATGTTTTGTTCAATTCGTAGAAATTGGGATGGAAAATAAAAAATATTAAAGTACAAGTGTCATCATCATCTACAAATTGTATGTAAAATAGTCAAATAATAATGTAATGCTGCAGCAATGTATAAAATTATTCATTATAATAATATGAATTTTGTAAGAGCATGTTATATGCAGTTATCCCTTGTCATGTTTTATTCATTTCATAAAAAATGGGGTAAAAAATAAAAAATATTAAAGCAAAAGTGTTATCATTTATACATTGTACATAACATTTCATTTAAAAAAAGGTCACCTATCTAAATGAATATTAAACAATTTTTAAATATTAAAAAAATTAAGATATGTTATATGTATACTGTATATGTAAGATTAATCACAGATTAGTTAACACTATATGTGTATATATAAGTATATGTATATTTAAATTTATTTTTATCATAAAACATACATACCACTATACTGACATCATTGCTTAACACTAAAAGTACAAGATAAAAAATACAACAGATAAATGAAAAATGAGATGTAAATTAGTAATCATTTTCTGTCTTAAGTCATACAAAATGTATGATAAAAATAAAGGCACCATAAAGGTACCCTAATAAATAATAATTCAATCAACTCTCGCTCGAAAGACATTGCGATGCTCATTCCGATGCAAACTGTGCAAATGATCAGTTTCTGTAAAGATGTGTGAAAAGGGTAAGCTCTCACACATGATACAGAAAATAGTGATATATCGTGACGAGTCGATAAGAAAGCTTGAAAAAGAGCGAATGATCGCATTGCACAAGGGTAAAATTGGACCCATCGATGCACAATTTCCATTCGCGTAATTTGCACGTTCCGCAAACGATCTCCGAATAAAACCGGACCCAGAGCAACACACCGATGGCAAATTTCACGGGGCTTCAGCTGGATGATCCCGGTCGGTCGTCAAACTCGACTTCCTCTGGATGGCCGATTTTTCCCAGGCTTCCCATTATGCCGTTACGTTCGCGTGATTTTTTTTTGCTCTCCTTTTACCGGCGTCGTTGGGCCGGGGGTATTTTTTCGGTGTCCCTCCGAAAAATCTATAAATCTCGCGCGTACGTCAGGACCATTCGTCAGCGGGCAGATTGCAGCGTCGCCGCGGGACGGGGTTGTAAAAAGGGCAAACCCCTTGCCACCCTCCCTTTGCCGTGCGATTTTTACGATCGAGGCCGGATCGCATGACGAGGTAATTTACCTTCGAAGAGAGAATTCTCGACACGCTGACGCGGTATACGTGTCGAACGGGGCCACTTGAACCGCGTCGATGCAAAAGCTGCGGCTTTCCACCCTCGAACCACCCCAATGACTGCCGCTACGCCCTCTCTCCTATGGACGGTTTGCCCGCGGCTTTCGGCGTCGCTGCGCCAGCGATGGATGTTGCCAGACACGATGGCTTTTCGAGCCACCCTACCGACGCGACGCCACGCAACCCGAGTCTCTTTGTTCGCCGGCTTCGTCGGTCGATCGTTGTTGCGACGGGTGCTTGTCTCCACGACTGTTCGATTCACGCTACGTGACGCTGCTGCTGCTTGATTGTGCGCCACGATCAACTTGGACCCTTTGTCCCGATATATGTTTGGGGACCTTTATACTAGCGACGTGTCGCCAAAAACTTCCCTGCTTTAGTTAACCCTTTGCGCTCTTCGCGGTTTTTAGCCACGTCGCTTGATACTGTTGTTTCACGATCCCTCTTTGATAGCTTCTCGATACCTTACTGACGGTACCGACGCGGTCAAAATGGCTCTTTAATGGGTTACAAAGTTCCCTCTCCTTATTCTTCTTCTCCTATGGCTTCTTGTTCGTTTAGTCTTCTTTGTCCTCTTGTTTTTTTTTCACTCTACTTCATCTTCTTAGTCCTCTTGTTTTTTCACTCTTCTTCATCTTCTTCGTCCTCTTATTTTTTCACTCTTCTTCATCTTCTTCGTCCTCTTATTTTTTCACTCTTCTTCATCTTCTTTGTCCTCTTGTTTTTCTCACTCTTCTTCATCTTCTTCTTCTTCTTAGTCTTCTTGATCTTCTTCTCTCATGTCATATCAGCTATCTGAGTGGCGAAGTAGATCCCATGCATACGAGCTCTTTCCTGTACGATTCCTGATCTGCCTTCACCTTCTTCTACAACTTCTTCGTCTTCTTTCACGTCGTATCAGATATGTGATGATGAGTAGCGACACCCAGACCCCATGCACACGAGTTATTTTCTGTGCAATTCCTGATCTGCCTGCTTCACCTTCTTCTACGACTTCTTCTTCAACTTCTTTCATGTTGTACCAGGTGTATGATGATGAGTGACGTCTTAGACCGCAGCATGTACACCAACTCCCTTCGAAGACACATTATTATACACCCAAATATTTAATCAAAGTTAAGATCCTCTATTTGCTACTAGACCCATATATGATCACATAGAGATGAGGGTCCATCTTACCACTCGTTAGATACCGATTTTAACACAAGTTTCTATCATGAGAAGTGTTTAAGAAAACTAGAATAAGGAAGATGCTTAAGAAGACTATCGATACTATTTCTGCTCGTGGGAACAAATGGGTTGAAGTAATAAGAATGCTGATTAACCTAAAGCGATATCTAACTCACATGTCACAACTATCTTTTGTCTTTTTACCTTTTGTCTAATGTCTTTGTACCTACACAAAAGAATTGTTTATCAAAATTCACACAAAATCGAATCATGTATGTTGCAGATTGGTATCGTCACCAGCAAGGCAGAACGAGGCAGCGAGCAGCAGTAGCGGAACGACGCAGCACGCCGCGACGTTTGCAGTACGAGTAGGTACGATCGACGGCGTCGTGACGCACCATCTACGCGCTGAGACGCGAAGGGATTTAGCAGCTTGGGCCAGGGCAATCGTTCAGGGCTGTCACGCGGCTGCTCATTCGTTACGGGAATACACTGTTCGTAAGTAAACTTCAGCGTCAACGAATTTCGTTCAATTCGGTAATAGTCTTCCGGGGTGCATCTGTCAAACATTTATTGTTCAGTTTACAGTTTAAGGTCATTCACTCGACTATTTTAAGGCTATTCACTTGACAGTAGCAGATTATTATTTTCTTCAATAATAATCTTGAAGATGTCATGTATCAAATATTTACTTTTCAAAATTTTTGTTGTGTAGTTCAGATTAAGGTCGCACGACTTAACAGCGTAAGATGTTTCTTTCAGTGATAGTCTTTGAGGGATTTATAAAAAATTTAAGCTTTGAGACTTTCGTTGTTCAGTTTATAGTTTAATTTCATTTTTGACAGTGTAAGATACTTGATTATAATAGTGGAGGGTGTAATTTATATTAAATCTATGTAGCGAGACTTCCATTGCTCAGTTTACAGGTTAGGTTCACTGTCCACTTAAAAATATTTCCTTCAATAATAAACTCTCAATAATTCAAGGGTACAAAGAAGATTTGATGATTTTCTTGTCCAGTTTACTGTTTGAGACCCGATACAAATGAGCAATTTTTGTCCATACGATTTCGTTGCAGTCATCTTTGCTCTCTCAATCAAAAACAACGAAGACAGATAATCTCAGAAAAATCCCTCATGTGCATCAAGTTTGAAGTTGTCCACCTAACAGCACAGTAGCTGAACATCTTCAATACATTTTGCTAATTATACGTATTTTACAAACAACAGAACAGCATCAATGCTTACGTACATTAATAATATGAATATGTCAATGTCAGTCTGATAATGTTCATCTACTTTGCTGTTCAGATATGGACAATCGTATTTTAATTTTATTTGTACTTCTACTTTTAATTGCACGTTATACTGTACATGTTCAATCGTAACGTAGAACGGTATAAATTAGATTTTCAAATAACATAACAATATCTAACACTTGCTATATTTGCCAGTATAGTGCATACACGCACGCGTTCGAGCCTAAAATAAGAAAGAAAAAATAGCGAATGAAATACGTGTTCCTGCAGGAAAGGGAACCGGAACACCCGGAATATTTTGAGCTGCTCGTTGTTCCACGGCGTCCCATGCCCGTTCGCTTCGATGAATTTTAATTTCTTTTCATCGTTCGCGGACGAACGGCAATAATAAATTGAGATTAATGCACGGCCCGGGTCGGTTCTGGTGCCCTTTTTCTCGTTTTTCGTTCAACTCCCATCGATCATGAAACACCGTGAATTTCTAGCCGAGCAGAAAGTCGACAAGAAATATCGCTAGGTGTTAAATTCGTATCTCGTTTAGTTGGCTCATGCCAAAAACTGCTTGCTACCGTCTATTTACATTGTTCACTGTACCTGATACCTTTTTAGAAAACGATCTAAGTGGTCCAATTATTTTCATTTTAACCCCATTGGTACAATTTTAACCCTTTGCATTTCTCACCCTTGAAGAAACTTTAGTTTGCAGAATAAATCTTCAAAGGGTTAAAGATGGACAAGATCTAATAAAAACTTAATTCCAAAACATTCGGGGGCAATAAAAAATTTCAAGATGAATGTCTTTTCAAGATCTTCGTTGTAAAACTGCAAAAATTAGAAGATTGATTTAAATGGAACACCCTGAATATGAAATATATAGATAGATAAACTTAAACAGATAAAATTGAAGAAAAAGAATTATTAAAGAAATAGTTTCACCCCCAGCGTAGTACGATAAAAGAACACTAGTATGTAACACATAATTAGCACATGATTCAACTGATTATTTCTAAATAACGTAAGATACGTGTTATTTGTAGGATGCACGTGGCAAGGGAAAGCATGTCAGTTGGTCGTCAACCACGAAGATGGTTTCACGTTATTCGCAGCCGGTGCAAGGGGTGTGGGTGGCAACGGGGTGAGTCCAGGCTCTCCCCCGACCCCATTATGGAGAAAATCCTTCGACAAATTGAAAATGTCCGCGGACGACGGGGCGCGTCTTCTGTGGCTCGATTTCGGTGGCGAGGACGGCGAAATTGTGAGTACTTAAATACTTTGATCGATTGTCAATTACTATTCCGAAAAACCTATTTCCTCAAAATTATGGAGATAAAACTTTGATTTCGTGCAAATTCCAAGAGTTAATTTGTAATTTAAGAATTGTTCTTTCAAATTTTTATCTTGGGACCTTTATTATTTTAACGTAAAAATAAAATAAAAATAAAAGGAATTAGTTCTTGAAATTTGTACGAGGATTACAAGTTTGGGGTACAAAAATCTCTCATCGTAGAGTATTAAAATTTTAGGAATATCGTAGCATATGTGATCGTGAGTACACATGTGTAAAACATAGGTATACATATGTGAATAGGTATACATGCCTAAAATATAATAACGTATGTAAAATACAATAACATATGTAAAATACAATAACATGTGTAAAATACAATAACATTTGTAAAATGCAATAACATGTGTAAAATACAATAACATGTGTAAAATACAATAACATGTATAAAATACAATAACATGTGTAAAATACAATAACATGTGTAAAATACAATAACATATGTAAAATATAATAACGTATGTAAAATACAATAACATATGTAAAATATAATAACATATGTAAAATACAATAACATACATAAAATATAATAACATATGTAAAATACACTAACATACGTAAAATACAATAATATATGTAAAATATAATAACATATGTAACATACAATAACATATGTAAAGTACAATAACATATGTAAAATACAATAACATATGTAAAATACACTAACATATGTAAAATACAATAACATACGTAAGACATAGGTATAACGTAAACCTACAAATAAAAGTAAAATGTGAAAATAAGAGGGGTTTAGTAAGAAATGTGCAACTGGAAACGCCGCGTTCGATAAATACTTTAATAGCCCCATCGAAAGCAAGTATTGTGAAGAGCTCCCCTTTCCATGGAGTATTGAGAATTTTAATTGACTTCGCGTAGACTATCAAGATTATTATCTTCGTAGAGGCACGCACACACAGACGGTGATAAAAAAGGCGGCTTATATAGCAATGGTAATACCATTGTGCTCGTCACGTTGAAAGAACCCTCGATGCTGCAAGGATACCGGGAATACGTATTTTACATCTTCGCCAAACACTGTCGTTCGGTTCCGTTCAATGGTCATTCATAATCGAGCAAAAAGGGAGGGTTAGGAGAAAAGCATCAAGACGGCGAGGGGGTTGAATTTCTCCACGACAGACGTCTCGATGGAAAAATTATTCCGCTCTCGAAGCAGCTTTCTGAAACGAAGCTGCAAATGGAGAATCCTCGGGATCGTTCCTCCTTGGAATTTTTATTAAGCGCGCGATGACTCGACTCGTTCGATATGGAACAGTTCGATAACGGTCGTTGAAAAATACCGTCCCCTTTTTTGCGTGGAAAAACAACAATCGGTTCGACGGAAAATATTCCCTTGGCCGGTATTGCCGCGGGATTATCCGAAGAATCTCGGGATATTAAATCGATCTTGAGCTTAGCCGAACGCTTTCTTCGCGATATAATTACTTCTTAACGAATTCTTCCTCGCGAACTTCTGTTCCCCCGGGATTATCATTCATTTTACATCGGTCGGATTTAACTCCCTTGGCCTCAAACTTCTACGGGTTTGCCCTGGCTTTCCGGGGAAACTTCCAGTATCGAAGTAAGAATAAACCTTGAAGATTCGCCAACCGCCTGAATAATTAAGTTAGATTGTATTCGCCGCTAAGATTATTTCCCTAAGATGTCGCAGACTAACCACTATTTTTCCTATTTTATATCTACTTTACGTATTTTAACCATTTTTAATGACTTTATGTAGAATGACCTGAAATACAATAGTTGAATATTCATTTACTAGACAAATACAACAGAGTTTATTTTAAACCAGTTCACATAATTAATAGAAAATGTTGTTCTTTGTTAGGAGGTTCAAAACTTCAGTCGATAGTAATGTAACACCTTCATTCAAGTAGCTAAATATAGTTCAATGTAGTTCAATAAAGGATACATACATAATACATGTAACACATAAGAGTACATAAAGGATATATGTATATTATAGGACAGCACCAACAGATACATACATTATATTATACGTCCAGATAATAGCATTAAAAATACATAGAATTGTCCTCAGCAAATAGTGTCGCATTTCAGAAATCATTTTAAGCTAGCTACAAGTACAACTATGCAGAAAATCCTCCAGAGTTTGTTCAAATGAAAAATGCCTCACAAAAACGTACATCAATGACACATAATTATTTCCTCTACTGAACCTCTTCTGTCAGAAATCATTTTAAGCTAGCTACAAGTACAACTATGCAGAAAATCCTCCAGAGTTTGTTCAAATGAAAAATGCCTCACAAAAACGTACATCAATGACAAATAATTATTTCCTCTACTGAACCTCTTCTGTTAGAAATCATTTTAAGCTAGCTGCAAGTACAACTATGCAGCAAAACCTCTAGAGTTTGTTCAAATGAAAAATGCCTCAGAAAAACGTACATCAATGACAAATAACTATTTCCTCTACTGAACCTCTTCTGTCAGAAATCATTTTAAGCTAGCTGCAAGTACAACTATGCAGAAAATCCTCCAGAGTTTGTTCAAATGAAAAATGCCTCACAAAAACGTACATCAATGACAAATAATTATTTCCTCTACTGAACTTCTTCTGCAGTAAACTGTAGTATATAACGATTTACTAAAATGGACAATTATAATGTTCTAATGAACTAATTCTCCAGTACACTTGAGTGTACATTTATTAAAATTGAAAATACAGATGCGTTTTCTGTGGATGTTGCAGGAGTTGGACCTGGAGAGTTGTCCGAAGCCGATCGTATTTGTTCTGCACAACTTCCTGTCTGCGAAGATTCATCGGCTCGGTTTGAGCGCATAGGGGTACGAGGGGGCCCCAACGGAGGCCCCCGACCTGCCACCCCACACCACCCGGTCCGTAACCAGCGTCTTCCTTCACTGAATCCGCGAAGATCGAAGAGGGAGCGAAGGTGTGGGGTCAGATACCAACCGGATAGACCAGAAAGAACCGATCGAGCTTCCGTGGGCCTCTCGAGACCCTTTAACGCTGGATCCGTGTTTTTGTCGATCGGGTTTGAATAAAGATGGTCCGAGTTGCTCGAGAGAAAATGGACTCTCCGGTAATGAAAGAAAGTAATATTTAACCGGGCGATTCGAAGCCATCCACCGCGCGATTTTCCAGGAAAGTACACGCAACAAGTAGGATAGAGGGAGGGAGTGGGAGGGGGATCGTAACTAATCAACGCGCCTAAAGTAACCGATTAAAACTATCTACCCTAACGCTAAGTAACGAACGAAAAGAAAAGAGGTGTTATTTAAAGAAGGGTGAGAAGGTGTTGTGGCGACTAGGAGAAGCTAATCAATTAACTGCCCAACCCGTACGCTGCCCGTTGGCTCTTCTCTTTTCGACTTTCGCTCCTCGTTCATCGCGCCCGATCCTTCATCCGCTAACAACAACAACAACAACGTGAAAAGGTTCGCGAAGGTGGTGCGCGCTTGCGAAGTTCCAGCATCACGCAGCCAAGTTTCGTAACGTCTGTGAAAAGCGACTTTAAGGAGTTCGCAGCGTTAATCTCTTCGCTCGGAACAACAGCTGATGGCGAAACTTTAGATAACAGGGTGTGCTTCCTGCGATATTTACGCGAGTTGCCGATCGATAAATTATCGCGATCGCATGTCCACTTGTCGTATATCGTGGTCGAAGTTTTTCGCTGGGTGAACGAGAGATTTGAAGGGAGGATCATGGTGGACGTCCATTATGGTGAACGGAGCAACGGGTGGACGTTTATAGTTGTTTTGTACGATTCGTATTCTTAACGCGAGTAAATGTATGATGCCAAGAAAACGTCGATGTGTATAACTGGTAGCTGTATGAACGATTCTCCTGCTTTCCGGGGGTCAACTCGTCTAAATAAAACCACTTCTACATTTACTTTTTAAATACAATTAATATCGGATAAAGATATGCAATTGATATTGATACAGAATTTAAAATACATTCATTAAAATTCGTTTACTAAAATTATTTTCAACCGCAAATTTTATGTAATGCATATTTAAAATTATCTTGTATAATTAGTTTTATAATTATACACTGATGAATTATGTTCATCCAAGAGCAGCAATTAAAACATGGAATAATAATTGAAATACGATCAAAAATGCAAAGAGAACTTACTCTCTTATACTGCTTCCATTGTATTCGAATTTAATTAAACATTCACAACTGAAATATCGCCAGCTTTTCTTGAAACCCTTAAACGGATCTCAAATTAATTTACATCATGCTAATAAGCTTGAACCCTTTTCTTTTTACCCTAAATAAACTACCCTATCAATCGTCTAAAGCTCCCCTCGAAAGAATCTCACCACAGGCAAAAACGCACCACAAAGATGTCGGACACGAAAATAAAACCGAGAAGGATCTAATCCCATAGGGTGATTCCAATCTTCGATCGAGTTACCCCCTGCAAGCTGGAAGCAGGAAATCGTCGAGTACCGAAAGAATTATTCGCATTACGAGGCAAACCGACTGCAGCCCGGAGCCACCAAGCTATCGAATGCCGAAGAATGAGTGTTCGTGTAAGAAAGAGTGCAGTTTCCTTTTCATCTGTATAAATCCGTGGAAAAAAGATAAAAATGTAAACCGTGGCGGGAACGTACCACGGGTGCACTTGGCCTGTCATGGCGTTCTTACGGTGCGACCGTACGATAATAAGATTTCGACATTAAGTAGAACATATCAACGAATCCACGTACCATTTGATTGTGTCCATTCGTCTGCCAGCAGTTCCTTTCGCTGTGAGCTCTGATGCCTGTTCGTTTCTTTTTAGTGTGGTTTATTTAAAATTTGTAATGTGTAATTTATTTACAATTTGTGGAATTGTAATATTTATGATTGTACTTAGATTAATGTTTTTCTGTTTCTTTGTGTGAGAGTTTCCATGGGGGTTCTAGATGGAACGGTTACCTTTTTAGGAAATTTATGGATTCATAGATTTCGATGTTCTTTAATTTTTGAATAGTTGAATATTGGCGTGTATTGAAGTTATTGTGTTATTGAATTCCCATACTTCCGAATTCTTGTGTCTCAGAAATCATGTCTCCAAATCTCTACATAAGACTACTATACTCTAAATCTTTACGAATTCTTAAATCTCCAAATTCACAAATGTTGAAATATCTAAGTCTGAAATTTTTCAAATTTTCAAATTCCTAAATCTCCAAATACCTAAATGTCCAAATTCCCAAATTCCCAAATTTCCAAATCCCCAAATTCCTAAATCTCCAAATTCCCAAATCTCGAAACCCGCAAATCTTGAAATTCCCAAATCTTGAAATTTCCAAATCTCCAACTTCCCAAATCTCCAAATTCCTAAATCTTGAAATTCCCAAATCTTGAAAATTCCAAATCTCCAAATCCCCAAATTTCCCAAATCCCCAAATCTCCCAAATCCCAAAATCTCCCAAATCCCAAAATCTCCCAAATCCCCAAATCTCCCAAACCCCAAATCTCCCAAATCCTCAAATCTCCCAAATTTCAAAACCACCTACCCTCAACCTCCCCAATTTCCACCTCACCAATTTCCCAAATTCCCAAATCCCCAAAATTTTCCAAATCCCCAAAATTCCCCAACACCAAAACCTCTTTCACATCACTGTCCCCGATAATGAAGGTTAATTTTCACCATGGACATTCGAGACGTGTGCGCTAATGGGTTAAACTAGAAACGAGATGTTATTCGAGCCGTTAACCCAGGAATAGTCAAGATACAACGTGTTGAAGCAATCACGGTGTATCGATCGAAGGGTTCAATTTGCACGTGAGTTGCTAATTAACGCGTGAAATTAGGAACGATAGGTAGAAACGAGCCACCACTTGATACACTGATTCCACGAATCAACGCTTTCGACTCGAAAACGCGTTTACCTTATCGAATTCCAGCCAGAATCACCGTTTAACTCGTTCAAGTGGCTGCACTAATTGAACAGGACACAGCTCGTTACCGTTCTACGATCCTGTCGTTAAAAACAATTCTACCCTCCTGGCTATTTTGTGACCAACGTTCTGAATAGTCATTCAATTGCCACCGTTCAAAATTTTGCGGTCAAACAGAAAATTTGTTGGTCAAGCAAAAAATTTATTATTCAAACAGAAAATTTGTAGGTCAAACAGAAAATTTGTTGGTCAAGCAGAAAGTTTATTAGTCAAACAGAAAATTTGTAGGTCAAACAGAAAATTTGTTGGTCAAGCAAAAAGTTTATTAGTCAAGCATAAAATTTGTAGGTCAAACAGAAAATTTATTGGTCAAGCAAAAAATTTATTATTCAAACAGAAAATTTGTTGGTCAAACAAACAAATTTAGTATTCAAACAAACAAATTTATTAGTCAAACATAAAATTTTGAAGTCAAACAGAAAATTTATTGGTCAAGCAAAAAATTTATTATTCAAACAGAAAATTTGTTGGTCAAACAAACAAATTTATTAGTCAAACATAAAATTTGTAGGTCAACAGAAAATTTTGAGGTCAAACAGAAAATTTATTGGTCAAGCAAAAAATGTATTATTCAAACAGAAAATTTGTTGGTCAAACAAACAAATTTATTAGTCAAACAGACAATTTGTAGTTCAAACAGATAATTTTGCGATTACACAGAAAATTTTGCGGCCAAAAAAAAGTTTTATTCATCAAACAGAAAATTTGTAGGTCAAACTGAAAATTTTACGATCAAAGAGAAAATGTTGCGATCAAACAGAAAATTTGTTTGTCAAACAGAAAATTTTGCGACATACAGAAAGTCCTTTGCAAATATATTTTTTTTACGTGTCTCATCATGTGTGAATTAAAGTAACCGTCCACGTTTCTTTGCTAAAGAATTATTCTACCAACTCTTCATTCTACGAATTTTCGACGAAAACAAGAATTGATCGATAATGTACTTTTGGTAATTTTTCAATTTCACTTCTGAAGCAAAATGCATTAGCGAAACGTTGAATTTAGTTGGCAATCTAATAGAAACAGCCGCAAACGAGCGAACGCGCTGGGACGAATTAATTCGTCGCTTACTGCGAAAGGAACACGCACACACAGATACACATAAGCATATACACAAACACACGTACACTGAGAGAGAGAAAATGTGAGAGTGAGAGAAATACCCGCCTAGGGAACGAGTAACGTCATTAATCGCGAGAATAAGTTTGGAACATCGACGAGATTCTGTTGAAAGGATTTGCGCGTAAACTGTGTATTTTTCTAATGATTTTAGGACACGTTTCCCTTTTCCCTTCATGGGCAACGGGACACGAGGTCCTCTTGCGTTTTCAGTTTCTTTCTGTTTCTTATTTTTTTCTCTAGGTTTAAGAGAAACGTTAAACGTGTATATCTATGAGTTACCAAATAAATGAGACCGGTTAGAAAATCCTTGCTTTCAATTTTTTATTCACTTAATAAATTACCCCTTTCCCTAATTTCTTTTACCTGACGCTCACTTCTGAATTTATAAAATAAATGAAGGGGTTAATCAAATAGGTTCTGCACTTTCAGCAATAGTACAATAGTCCCTCTCTTCTTTTACTTTGTTCAACCACGCCCCAAATCAACATCTGTACATCAATCCTATTCAAATTGTTCAATCCTATTAAATAAACATTTAAACACAGTTAAAAATAAAGTGTATTCGTCGTTCGAGTTTATTTTTAGAAGTTGACGAACGATTGCGTATAACAGGTGTCTCGAAACGATCGCTTGATTTACGCGAGTTTACCGGGGGTTGCAAGAGACCCCTCGGAAGTCGAACGAGAAGACGGATCAGAAAAGTTTCGCGATCCAATCACAGGACTCGGATACCGGGACCGACGATAAAAATGACAAAGTCTACGAACTTTCTCCTAGTTGCCGTGTTTGGCCATCTTCGAGTTCCTTTCACGGTTTCTTCGATTCCTTTCTGAATTTTGCAACGATGCGTTTCCGGACTAACGAATTCATCGATCGAATAACGTTGAACTCTTGATAGTAGAATACTTGTAAATTTAGTTTAACTGCTTGATTGGTAGTAAATTTAAATTGTTATAGAATTAGTGTATTGGAGAATGAATTGAACTTGTTTATGGACTACGGTGCAGTTTAAAATGGCGCGGTTCTTAACCTCAAAATAACGAATATTCTTCTGAATAATAGAATACCTGCAAATTAACGTCAACTAATTTATTATAAGAAGGTAATTTCAACGTGCATCTAACAGATAAAAAAAATGAAGTAGTCCAGTTTAGAATTTTCATAAAATTGATGAATAATTGCATTCGTAAAATGGCGCGGTTCTTAACCTCAAAATAATGAATATTCTTCTGAATAATAGAATACCTGCAAATTAACGTCAACTAATTTATTATAAGAAGGTAATTTCAACGTGTATTTAAAAGTTAAAAAGAATGAAGTAGTTCAGTTTAGAATTTTCACAAAATTGATGAATAATTGCAATCGTAAAATGGCGCGGTTCCTAACCTCAAAATAATGAATATTCTTCTGAATAATAGAATACCTGCAAATTAACGTCAACTAATCTATTATAAGAAAGTAATTTCAACGTGCATCTAAGAGATAAAAATAATAAGACAGTTCAGTCTAAAATTTTCTTAAAACTGATAGATAGTTTTATTCACAAAATGACACAATTCCTCCTTGAAAATAACCTTGTTTAAAATAATTCCTGTCAATAATAGAATACTTGCAAACTGACAGCAACTAATTGATTATCGGAAAATAGTTTCTCCTCCAAAAGGTACCAGTTCATTTTAGAAGTTCCACAAAATTGATATATAATTTTATTCATAAAATGGCACAGCTCTGAACAAAGTCTCAACAAAATATCAACAGCAATTGATTATCAGAAAATAATTTCGTTTCTAAAAAGAAACCGTCCGAATTCAATTTAGTTCTAAAAAATTGATCGATAAGGTCATTCACAAAACGTGAATAATAGAAAACTCGCAAACGGACGTGAAGTAGTTTATAAGAAAATAATTTCTCCAAAATAAAAAGTTCAATTTAGAAGTTGCGGAAAATTGATCGGTAATTTTATTCATAAAACGGCGTTTCTCCCCGAAATAACAAACTCACCCCTGAGTTGGAAGAATAGAGTCCTGTCAAAACTGGATCCAGCTTTCCCCCAAACGAAAGAATCAAGCTGATCCAAGGGGACAGCACGACAATAATTGCCGGAGAGGATTCAAAGGGGGTTGGTTACGCATTTTTTTCGACAACAACAGAGAGGGAGAAATGATAGGGGGACCGATTGAAATGCAAATCGAAGCGACCGAGGTTATTTCGGTGTACACGGGGCCGTGACGTTGTCCCGTTACACTGTTCCAAATTCGATCGTTTCCATCTCCCATGGGTGCCGCCGACACCGCAAACAACCGAGCTCGTTGCGAGAAAAAAAAATCTCGCTGTCAAACCACGGTCATCGTTGCTGCAACCTATAGAGGGAACATCATGAAATATTTCACGGATCTTTTACTTAAAAAAATCGACGTTTACCGCGCTTTGACTCGATCGCAAGGGATGAACACCATAGAATATTTTACACGTTATTCAGTGGGATCGGTAGTTTCGACCGGATTTTGCATGGTATAAAAATATAGACGAGTATAAAATATTTCACGAGTATTTTACTTGAAAAAATATGTTTTTATTTTGTTTTGAACGTAAAAATTTGATCGCTAGAGATGAATGCTGTGGAATGTTTCACGAACTCTTTTCTTACAAAAGCCATATTTGGAGTACGAAAAATTAAAAATCAATTATATTTGCAACACAAAAAATTAAAAATTGTAAAATATCAGTCTATGCAGCACAAAAATAATTCCAAAAATGAATTATGCTTCCAGTACAAAAAATCAAATATCACTAAAAAATTATTTCGAGCATCCTAAAATAAAAAATCCTAAAAATCAATTATACTTGCAATATAAAAAATAAAAAATTACAAAAAATCAGTCTATGCAGCACAAAAATGATTCTACTAGAGATGAATTATGCTTCCAGTACAAAAAATCAAATATCACTAAAAATCATTTCGAGCACCCTAAAATAAAAAATCCTAAAATTCAGTCTTCCTTCAAACACAAAAAAATAAAAAATTACTAAAAGTCAGCCGACTTCACGAAAATAAAAAATCCAAAAAATCCAACAAGGTTTACATACGAAAGATAAGAATACCTAAAAGTCAGCCATATATCGCGCACAAAAGGTAAGAAATTGCCAGCGCACATGATACCGGCGTTTCGAACGTCGAACAGCGTTATCAAAGTAATTTGAATATAATTGAGGTACATACTTGGAATCACATTACTCTGAGAATAGATTACCCTGATGTCTGTCCCAACGCGAACGATATACCGAACGGTAGCTGGCATCTCTAATTTCGTCCATCTGGCATGCTGGTACCCGTGGATTTCCTGTGAACTCTTCCGAGAATTTATTAACCTTCTCGGTTGTCTTTGCGGGTAGCCGGGAATGGCGGTAGCCTTTGAATCGTCGAGGTGCACGTTGGTTGAACGATTCAATGAATCCCTGGATCCGAAGCTTTTGATATTTAGCTCGGACCGCGTTCCTTTTGTTCGAAGCTTTTGATCCGCGTATTCGGAATTTTCATATCGAAAATCGCGATGTTTATTGCTTGGAGTTTTTAATATTTGAAATCGTGATTACTTCCGAACACTGAATATATTGCTATAGGTTTTTCCGTTTTTGAGGAGGTTTGAGATCTACAAGATGAGCGGACGAATGATTAGGTTTCTGAACGTCTGAGCAGTTTTGTGTCTCGTAAATGTAGATTGTTAGGTTAGGTTAGTTTTTAATATTTGAAATCGTGATTGCTTCCGAAGTGCACTGAATATATTGCTATAAGTTTATTTCGTTTTTGAGAAAGTTTGAGTTCTACAAGTTTAGTGAACGAGTGGTTCAATCTCTGAATATCTAAGCAGTTCTGTATCTCGTGAATGTAGATTGTTAGGTTAGGTTAGTTTTTAATATTTGAAGTTGTGATTACTTTCGAAGTGCACTGAATATATTGCTATAAGCTTTTCATTTTTGAGAAAGTTTGAGTTCTACAAGTTGAATGGACGAATGGTTATCTGAACATCTAAGCAGTTCTGTATCTCGTGAATGTAGATTGTTAGGTTAGGTTAGTTTTTAATATTTGAAGTCGTAATTACTTCCGAAGTGCACTGAATATATTGCTATAAGTTTATTTCGTTTTTGAGAAAGTTTGAGTTCTACAAGTTTAATGAACGAGTGGTTCTCTGAACATCTAAGCAGTATCTTGTGAATGTAGATTGTTAAGTTAGGTCAGCTTTTAGATATAACTATAAAATTCGAGTGATTTAAGGACTCAGATTATTTTTACATATAAGCCAAAATTTTTCTCTCAATTTTACTAATACGTAGGTGTCATTAAATAATTTATCTTCCAACAATTAAAATTTCACCCGCGAAAAATCTAACACTTAAATATTCAGATGAATTTCTATTAAACGTTCGTAGACATCGTCTAAAATTCACACGCTAAAATTTCCAATATTTCGCAGTTTAATATTTCATTCGATTCGTCTATCAATCAACCCTCGATAGCTCTTTCCGCTGTTTAATTAAAAGATTCAATCATACACCTCCTTTTAGTCTGGTAATATCTGATTCGGAAAAACAAAGCCGACGACCAGTTATTTGCGATATATATTTTTTTAGGGTGTCCACCGAGATTTTCCTTATCTTAATGAAGCAGACCGCCAGTTTCGAACGGGGAACAGCTTCGAATCCGCTCTTGGTTAGAACCGGTTGCAGAAAGAATTCCTCCCGGACAAAATTCAATTATCTTGCAGTATCGTATTTTTACTTAAATTTTTAATTCTTCTGAGATATTAAACTATCAAGATATTATTAAACTGATCATTCCATAGATGCAGCAACTTTAATTTATAAATTGGTTAGAATTCTTTTTATAGTTTGAACTATTAACCTTGCTGTGCTGTAACACCATGTCATGTTATAATAAATATTACAAATTAATTTTCAATCAAACATCTGAATCACAGGTTCTACATTTTTGGACTCCATGTATTTTGTAGCTATTTCTTGCACCATTTTCTGTTTGAGGTTATTCTGTCCATAATAGTCATCCTCAACCAAACATCCTAATTGCGGATCCTGTTCATACTACAGTACATGCTACTTCCTAATTACAGATGCTATTTATACAGATCCTAATTACAGATCCTAAACATAGTGAAATAGTCAACATTTGCTATTACTAACAGAAGAGTAATAACTTCAGAAAACTTCATCAAACTTCTCAGCTAAAGTATCTTAAAGTTGCAATTTCTTAGTAAGAGTATCTATACAAAGGGTTAATGTGAAAATCCCACTAACAGTTTTAACACGTATCAATCATAAAAGAGTTCTTCAAAACTACCCCATCGAACAGAATAAATAAAATTCAGGAATCGCTTCAAATAACCTGAATTCTTTCTAAAAGTGTTCTCTCGTTAAGATAGTCACGTACGAGCAAGTAGTTACGTCGGTAGCAGGATCGATGCAATAAATCAAAGGTTCAAGGCGCGTCCTTTGCAGCGAAATAATTAAAGGTCGTTGTTACATCATTCATCCGAGGCGGCAATTTAGCTGCAAGATTAACTTCGGCTTCCACCGTAAACCTGTCACGTTTTCAGCTTTCCAATCGTTCTGCCACGCTCCATAATCTCGGCTTCCAATCGCGGTTCGACGTTCCTGGTGGCACGGCGTTAAAGACGTCTCCCTGGCGAGCAACTCGGGCGTGAAACACGCGAGCTTATCGCGACTTACAACACGCGTGCACGTGGCCACCGCTACACGTGCAATTGCACGCGCCGTCTACGTACGAGCCGTGGCCGATAAATAAAACGATAACAACCGGGTATCGCGCGACTAGCGTTCCCATTAACGAGCAACGCGACTGATCCCGTGATCCGGCGTTAATTAGCTTTTAATTAACATTGTCCCGCGGACCAGGGAGCTACGGAATTTATGTAACTCGGTTGGCTTGTTTCCGCTCGGCGGGATACGTACGTTTTCGCTTCATGACTCCTTTTGATCCGCGACGCGCTGGACAGGAATTTGGTTAATTATTCGACGGACGACGATCCTCGGACACAGGAATTTTAGGAAAATATCATCGGACGAGTTTATTGCCCCAGATCCAATTATCCGCGTCCGACTGCTGGATAAAGCGGTAGTCGCCACTGCAATAACCTGCGGTCATGTCACAAAATTCGCTCTCTGATCCACAACTTTTAAGGTTAATCGTTTTTGCAGACCACCGGTTAATCATTCTTAATTTTCTCTTTAACCATCTAAATTTGGGACGAGGAATTCAAAGTATAAAGCTAGCTATTTTTCTCTTTTACTCTTCAATTTGTGGACGCAAGTTTGCTTTGAAACTTGACATGTTTACCACAGAAATAAAATATGTTAACTCTTCTGACTAAATCGTCAGAACATCGACAGCGTTCTGAAAGATATTAGCAAAGAAATAACAGTGTACCTTGTCCAGTGCAATCCAGAAATTAAAAATTATTAGACAGTGCACCTGGTACAGCAATATTACGATCAGGTTGAGATCACAGAAAATTTAGAGAAGATTCTAAATGGATGCGGATGCCAGGAATGCAGAGGAGAGTAGAAATGGTGGACACATAATTTCAAAGACGCTTACATTTTATTCAAAAATATCTCGACGCACTTATAGCTACACTCGTACTTCGGGCTACGGTATCTGTAAACTACGTAACATCGTCATACATACTCGTATGTACAAACCCTCGAGATGTTGCTCGAGAGAGTTTCTAGGGCGAACTGGTTCTCTCAATGGACGCTTATCGTTTCTAACTGAACGAGTTTTCGTTGTATCTACAAAGCGCTCGTATCTCTACCTTTCCCGATTCAATGTTAGAACTGTTGCGTTATGATTATTCGCGATAATGATAGAATAATATCTAGTAGACCTATCCTTTATACTTATCGAGTTGTCTTATGAACGAAGCCTTAATATTATACATGTACAAACACACCGTTCAAGATGTTCGAATCTTCGACGTTCAAATCATCCACTTTTCTAAGTTTACTAATTTATTATAATATTTTTTGTGTTAAAAGATGTTAGACGCAGCAAGAAAGGTACTTCTAGGTGTTTGCAAGAATTTTTCTGTCGCAACAAGGCTGAAAAATATTTCTTTTAATACAAGTTTCTTTGCTTTCGACACTTTGGTTTAATATAACAAATTAAAATCAGTACTTTTTAATTAAATCTACAGTGTTACAGTGCTACAGAATTTATTATTTATTAACGCGTATGATAAGAGTGTACTGGTAATTAATAACAGAGAGATTGTGATTTCAAAAGAATTAAAATTTTTTAATTAAAAGGTTTCAAAAATTTTTCCAAGCACAGAGTTAATTTAAACTCGAAAAAATTCGAACATCCTACACGGTGACGTAGCGGCAGATTTCTTTCTAGAAATTGGCACTAAGAATTCAAAGATTGACGAAGGAATACTGTTGGTAAATATCCTCTAACCCTCAGCTACTTGGAGCTTCCCCGTCACGGGGACGCTTCTCCAAATGGTTCCCAAGAGTACTCTTTCAAAGAGGACCCTCTCCATCTTACTTTCTACAATTTTCTTCTTAGACACAGCAAAGTCACCCTTGAAATTGGCCCTCATCGATGCTGCTTGAATTTCCGCGTTGCTTTGTTTCTCACAAAATATACTCGTTACTACAAATAATTTTTATGGACCAAAACTGACCATTTTAAATTATGTGCAGTACAATGAAATCAAACATTAAAGAGGTTTAATTATTTTGGTGAACTCAGAACAGTTTCAATTTCTATTTCTGAAGAATAAAATATGTTTTAACAATAATAATGTCGACTAAAATTTTCAGAAAGCACAGAAACGTCTGCCATCAAAATTTTGATCGAATAAAACACTTTGGTTTGGAAATTCTGAGAAATGAAAAATTATATGAATTAATCCTTCATTGCATTTTTGGTACAATTGCTAATTACAATTGCGAAAAGTTTTCGAAGAATATCAATTTTTGTTGTAGACATAGTTTCATATCTTTCATTTTGAATTACACAACTTTTGTCACAGAATATGATCTACAAAAATTCAATTATTTATACAAAAAAAAATCTTTTAACTCTCACAAAATACAAAAGTCAATATCATTCGAAAATTCTTCTCCACAACAGTATGTTACTAAATTGTTTTAACATCTCTCCTGACTATTAAAAATGACGAAGAAAAATTAATTTCTATCCACAGAAATATTTACCAATAATCATACGTTAAAAGGTAGTAACACTTTGCTGTCGTGAGTAAAAAAAATAGATAGTAGAAGATGCAACGAAGGATTAATCTCGCGGAGACTCGAAGATAAACCAGCAGGGGGTGGAAGAAACATGGTGGTCGCGACAACGAAATCTATGCATAGAGGGATCGGTTGTACGTTTCTCTCTCTCGAGTCAGCACCAGGCTCGAAGCTATTTAACGGCTAACATGCTTACTAATTCGAGGATGCACGTCGACGTGCGTGTACTTATCTACATGGAAGACGAACGTGACTCGCGGGAGGTGTGGTGCTGCGGAGAAGAAGGAGAACGTCGACGGCGAAGCTGTGATAAGCACCTGTGTAGTGACTTCCGCGTTAAATTCGCTTAACGGCCGGTGTAATTAATTAAAGGACAAAGTTGAATGTCCTGCTGCAGGAGCTCGACGGGTTTAAGCTACTTAATCCTGTTCGTGGCCGCCAGTCCACCATTTTTCGTTGCTCAACCGACGCCGATACACTTTTCATTGCATGTGTTTTAAATTAATTTTGCGATTTTCGAGACTTTTTATAATTTTATAAAGATTCATCAATGAAGAGTTTATTGATTTATTTATAAAATTATCTGCAATCTTTGTATTTTTGGAATTTGACGACTTTTAAACTGTTGGCTCTCGGAACAGGGACTTTGGAGCCTAAATTATCTGGAGATCTAAAGAAATTTTGTATAGCTGGGAATTCTGGTGCTTTCTGCAAACTTTATACACAATTTTCAAGCCTAAAGTTTTGACACTTTTTAAGGTTTCGTGGAATATAGGAATTATGAGACGTAGGATCTGCGTTAATGCTAAGATAATGTTAATCCTACGAGTATACAGTCCGTCAAATGATCAAAAAGCTCGTTTGTTTTCCGTCGGTGTCTTTTTTGCGCGGGGGATGATTCACAAAGGAGACCGCACAGAAGTGAAGAGGATATATTAGAGTAGATAGAATGCCAGCATAATGGCGGATTACTGTTGGACGTTGAAGAAAAGTAACAAAGGGGCGAATCCGACTCTACTTCTTTTAAATTAGAACCGACGCGTACGACGGTCATTACGCCGCTGTGATTTCTATTTCATTTTCAAAGAGATCGTACATTCTGAAGGGGAGCAGTTTCTTTCACGAGTCGCTCATCCGAGACCACGTGTATCTAACAATTTCGTTTACGTTTCGGGTTGCACAATGGCGTCGGTTGATCAACGAAATGGTACTAAATAAATAACGTTTAAACGTTGATATTACAAGGTTTCAGTTCCATGAACTGATAAGGCACGTGTAGAGTAGTGTTGTTGTGCTCCACCAGGAGGTGACCTCGTCTGGGTGACGCACCTACCACCAGAACTGTCTCACCTTTAAGCAGAACTACCTCACCTTCACCCTCTTCTGAAAATAGAAACAAATCCTCGTATATCTGTTAAACGTTGACAGGAACATGGTTGACTATCTGTCAAGGTAGATGGGTCACTCAAAATTACACTCTAAATTTAAAGCTAATATTCTCTCCCGGCGATCTTGATGCTGAATCTTCCGATGAAGTTTCATGTACTATATCAAAGTCAAATAAAAATCGTAACTATATGTACCCTCGGTCAAAATTAACTAATTTGAACGTTGCTTACCTGGAAATGGCATCTTCATGATTCTCGTCTGCGGGTAACCCAACTTCGTGTTTCCGGTCACGGTGTAAGACCTGCTGGGCGGAACTGGGGGTGGTCGCTCCTGTGAAATAAAGTTACACATTCGAGGATTATTCGACGTTACTCTTAGCCACTTTCTGTAATATTAACCAGGTAAATGCATTTATACATTATGTGTTTATTCATTTCAGTGCGGTTGATGTTAACTGTTAACTTTTAGCAAAAGTTTCCTAGCTTTACTTCTACAATTGTCAGTACATATGTCGTTCGTTAATTAGGTTTCCAACGAGGAACTTTTAATATTAAATTCTGCAGTTAACTGTATGAGAATGTAGAGTTAAGGTGTGGGATGTAGAAAGTTAGAAGATATAGAAAGTGTAGGATGCAGAAGATTAAAAGAAATAGAAGGTGTAGGTTAGAAGATGTAGAAGGTTAAAAGATATAGAAGGTGTAGGTTAGAAGATATAGAAGACGGTGCAGCATGTAGGAAGTTTAGAAGGTGTATAAGAAGGTTCAGAAGATTTAAAAGTTGCAAGGTGCAGGGTAAAATAGCTTCAGAAGATTTAGGTCTAAGGAGGACGCAGGTTTAGAAGACATGAGATGAAAGTTTAGAAAGTGTAAGATGTAGAAGATTTAAAAGAAGATTCAGATATAAAAGCTGCAAAGTGCAGAAAGTAGACTAAATTTGGAAGACGTAGAATGTACAGGAGATTCAGAAAAAGTACATGAAGATATCTATCTATGTAGATATATCTACCCATATGTTATATAGATATAGAAAATATAAGAATGTAGAAGATTTACAAGTAACCTAATGTCAAAGATGTGAACAATATAGTATTATATAAATGATTTTACCAAATCCAGCCCAAAGAGGCTACACGTCTGTTGGATCATCTTCTGATCGGCGCACTTCTCCGAAGGATCAGGTGGTGGCGTGCCAGCGATTGGCTGTGGCCTGGGTCGAGTTCCGGTTCCGGTAGCTGTACCAGCAGTAACGTTCCTTTGAACGGTTCCTGTGTTGGTCGATGTCGGCTGTTGCGGCTTCTTTTGACCGATTCCGGAAGTCACGCCTATCGTGGTCTTCCTCAAAGGCCACCTTCTTCGTACTCGCCAACCTCTCCACGTCGCCTGATAACGGATAAATAAATGATGACCTTATAGATTTCTAACCCTCATCTAATTTCCTGCCTCTTGTATCGATCTGGTCAATAGAGTCGACACTCCAAGAAACTACGGACAAGGGAAAAGGTTGTCCTTCAATTTTTTATTTTCAAAGTTTGAGGTTTTTAGTTTGAGATTCGAAAAATTGGTATCTCTAAATCCTTTTATGTCTAAAATTTTAATTTGTGAATTTGCACATCGGAAAATTTAAAATTCCCAAATTTGCACTTTCAAAAAATTAAATCTCTAAAATCCTTTTATCTCAAAAATTTTTATTTGTGAATTAGTACATCAAAAAATTTAAAACCCCAATTTGCACTTTCAAAAAATTGAAATCCCTAAAATCCTTTTATGTCAGAAATTACAATTTGTGAATCTCTACATCAGAAAATTAAAAATTTCCAAATTTCCTCATCTAAAAGTTAAAAATTTCCAAATACCTGCCTCTAAAAATTAAAAGTCCCTAAATTTTAAAAACACCAACAAAATATCAAAATACAAGAAAATAGTAAAAAAATCTTAACGATCCCCAAAAGAATTGAGAAGAGAAAAAGGGCAAAGTTAAAACGAAACAAAGAACGAGACAGCTCGTTTACAAAAAATTGTGCGTTCAAAAATGCTCGTGCAGTAATTAGGAGATAAGAGAACCGCGAAAAATTGAATTACCTGTATCACGGTTGCCGCTTTCCTGCGCGTTTCGGAGCGCAGATTCTCAAGCTGTTGCCTAATGCCCTCGCTCAAGAAGATGTGCCTTTTGCCAAGAGCCCAGCTGGTACTCGCGCCAAATTTGCTCTTCAATTGTTGAGCGTTTTGCAGGATAAGCTTCGTATCCTCCACAGCTTGCTCCTCCGCTCGACGGAGCTGCTTGAATGGCGCGATTAGCCTGTACCTCGCGTTAAACGCTTTGAAACGCATTCGATGTGGATATCCTGCAATTTTTTTGTTGCTTTGATCACATTTCCAACCGAATAAATTTATGATCTTTATCTTTGAAAATAATAAAAAAAAAAAACATATAATTTATACTCTAAAATGGCAAAGATGGAATCATTACAATTTTGCAACTACCCCTATTTTTATTTGCTGAGAAAAATTAAATTGTTCCAGTTTGTCAAATTGTCAAGGCTCCAATAATATTATTTACAGCTGAAAGTAGCAAGGATGGAGTCAAGAAAATTTTGCAGCTACCCCTATTTTTACTTGTTGAGCAAAATTAAATTGTTCCAGTTTGTCAAGTTGTCAGGGTTCCAATAATATTATTTACAGCCAAAAGTAGCAAGGATGGAGTCAAGAAAATTTTGCAGCTACCCCTATTTTTACTTGTTGAGCAAAATTAAATTGTTCCAGTTTGTCAAATTGTCAAGGCTCCAATAATATTATTTACAGCTGAAAGTAGCAAGGATGGAGTCAAGAAAATTTTGCAGCTACCCCTATTTTTACTTGTTGAGCAAAATTAAATTATTCAAGTTTCCCAAATTGTCAAAATTACAATAATATAATTCACATCCAAAACTATCAAATACGTAATCAAGAAAATTCTGTAACTACCCCTATTAATCCTTAAGCAAAATTAAATTGTTAAAGCTTCTTAAATTATCAAAGTTACCATAACTTTTTCCTCAAAAACTCTCTTCAAAATCGCAAAGATTTCTTCAAAAGTTATCTCAAGAATTACCCTAACCAATCTCGAAACACGAGAATACTCTTCGGAATAGAGTGCAATTCAGAACCGTGAAAGCCCGTATAAAACTGCAGTTTTGCCCGAAACAGCAGTGACAGAAACACGAAAGCTTTTTCAGTAATTTATTATTCAGATTGCTATTTTTATTCATGCAACGCGTTCGTAAGAAGGTTCGTTGTCAAGCGAATCCACAGTTTCTTGGCAAAAGATCAGACACGAGCTACTAAATGATTACAGGGCAAGATTTGAGATCGTTCGCACGTGCGCGAATACTGGAATACGGTGTTCGAGATAGTTTCGGAACGTACCACCGGCCATTAGATTCACTGTCTCCAGAACTTGAAGCGATCGTATCTGACGCATAGTCACGGCCCTGTCTAGATGGAGCGGTGTTTCAGTGCCGTTGCTCCTAATGCACCTGACAAAGTGGGGTCTCGCATGGACCAGAGTTCTCAGGAGATTATCCAGCCTCGTGTGGAAATCCTGCGTCAACGTGGAAATGGGCTCGTCACCGTTCAAACTGGAAACAAAGCGATTCATGTATCGAATCGTAATTAACTTTACCGAACGCCTTTTTAGACATTGACTGCCACATTCAAAATTACTTTACCTCATATTTTTAACAAATCTTAATAAACTATAAGTCTAGCTAAAACTATCAAATTGTGGTAAATAAAATTATGAGTAAAATCCGGATATCATAGGTTAATCCTCGAAGGTGTAACTTTACAGATATGAGGATTCTACACGTCCAATACTTACAGATCCGTATGTGAAGTTGGTGATATCCTGAAGCTGACACCCCTGGGTACCGTGTCACTCGCATAAAGGGCTTTCAATTCGCTGCCGAAGAGATGAGTCGCGAAACCGAAGCTGCAAGTATGTTTGTAGAACACCGCTACCAGGTCGTCAGGTACCACGTCTTTGTTCGTATCTTCCGGAAAAGAATGACTATGAAATACCTCTCGAAGAAATCCGGTATAAGCTTAGAAATAACTATCCATAAAATTATTGCTAACGGCGCGCGAAATTGTTATTTATGGGCACAAAGGAAGAATATATCGGAGCTCCGAGCGAAGTAGAACATCGAGGCTCTTGATAAATCGATATGACATTTTATCTGTTCTACGTTTTATCCTACGAGAATGGAAAAGGTAATAGCAAGCTAAAATTATACGTTCCATATATCGCTCTCGAGGACGAATTCTCGATATCTATAAGGGAATATAATGCGACGGAAAAGTTAATATCGAAGTTAGAATTTTCAAGTTCTACCGCTCTTCGAGGAGAATGAAAAAGGTAATAGCGCGACCGGAGTTCCATGCGTCGCCGACTCTCCGGACGGATTCTTGGTATTCATGAGAGGCCGTAATATGAAGAAAATGTTAATATCCAAGTTAGAGTTTTCAAGTTCTACATCTCGGCGCTTCGGAGATTAAAAAGACTGGTAACGACTTACGGTGTAGTGGTCAATTGTTTAAACCTGCGCTCTTTACAAGGCACATGACACTTTCTCTACATTTGAATTTATTGGTGTTACATGTAATCTTGTTTAAACTCATCGAAACTAAATTCAATAAACATTATATTATATAAACAATCAAAGTTGTAGTGCACAGAGTAGCAACAGAGTGCTACTATTCGAAGTAACAGCTCTTTCTGATCACATACGGAAGCGAGGTCAGAGGTGAGGTCACCTCGCATATTATACAAAACGAATTGATCAATAAATAAGAAACCTACCCAAAAAGTCAGAGGCATCATAAATGACCCTGCCAGCAAAATGCTGTATCCCAAACGACCTGCAGTCCACAGTCCTGGGTTCGAACAGTCTCGGGTTTTGTTTATGCTGAACCTTGACCTTGGCGACGTAGCTTTCGGCGGTGCCCCGTATCGAGCACTCGACGTCCAGCATGCTCAACAAGCCCGTACGCTGAAACGATCGTACCGATGATAGACACGCGTCGACAAAAACGCGAAGAACCTTGAACACCGAGAGCTCACCAGAGAAGAGATGAGATCGATACACGGCACGTTGTCTACGTAGTCGACCTCCACGTCGCAGCGTATCCCCTCGTCCCGGCAGCTCTCGATCGAGCTCTTGAATATGTGGGTGTTGTAGAAGTGTTGCATCGTCTCGGCGCACAGATTGATACACAGGTGCTCCAGCTGGCTTGGTTTCGGATCCTCGAAGCCGAACATGTCCAGGATCCCGATGAACCCGTCTGTCGCGTGTCTGACCGCGTTGTTCAGCGCGGTCATGCTTCTGGAACCGGTGCCACCTGCACATGACACGAGAGATCCATGCTGATAGAGAGAAAAAAGCGGCCACACGGCCACCGTGATATGGGTGTTAACAAGCTCTTAAGACTGTTTATGTAATTCTTCCAAAGGAGGTTATCTCTGATCGCTCAAATATTTTAAATATTCTGTTCAACGTTATTAAATATTGCCCCAACGCGGTGCTCACGGTAACTCCACATAAAGAGTTTAGAGTTTAAATTCGATATGAAGAGTTTAGAATTTAGATTCCATATGAGGAGTTTAGGATTTAGATTCCATATGAAGAGTGTAGAGTTTATATTCGATATGAAGAGTTTAGAGTTTAGATTCCATATGCAGAGTTTAAAATTTAGATTCCATATGAAAAGTGTAGAGTTTAAATTCAATATGAAGAGTTTAGAGTTTAGATTCCATATGAAGATTTTAGGAAAAACATGAAACCTGGGATCGTACCTGCAGAGCTACCGATGGTGGACGCATGCTGACTAGTCACCTCGGCCTGATTGTGAACGGACTCGTTGGAGTCCGAGGACAAGGTACCGAGCGTGGAGCCTAATCTCTTGAGGCTGTTGGCTCTCCTGACGATGGTGGCCACCGTGCGGCAGTACAGTGCCTTCGCCAGTGAGTCCCTGGTCATGTTAGACTGCGTAAACAAACACCCTTCAACATGGTTCCGCTTCAACGATACGATAACGTCAAGATCTGCAGGGAACGAATGAACAGTACCATATTCGCGTCGCAGACCGACTTGACCAGTTGGCCACGAGCGTTGTGCGTCCTGGATGTGAGTCCCCTTAACAGGGCAGGAGGCGGCACTCCAAGTAAGGCTGCCACAGAGGATAATTCGCTCTCTCCGATCACACCGACCTCCACACCGGGCCTGTCCGCGAATCCCACGTTCCCGAGGATCAGCACCGCCGCCAGGACTCGGACCACGTCCAAGAAGGGTATACCTAGCACCCCTGCGGAGGAATTCTAGCGTGATTTAAGCAATTTCAAGTGACTTTTCGTCTGATTCGTTGATTGTGAGGTACTTGAATCCAGACGTACCTAAACAGGCTTTCCAGGCTTGAAACCGGACGGCGTCCTCGGCCTCGTCTTGCCTGGTGTCGCCGTGCTGCAGGTACCTCAGGTTTTTCAGGTTATAACTCTCCAGGTTTAGTTTAACTGCGGAAGGGTTGGACAATTCGATTTTTTCGTATTTTACTGTGTGTGATGATTAAACTATTGTTATTGAATGAGCAAGAGTCGAAAGCAAATCTGACTCGAAGAATCAAAGAGGAAGATTTGAACATTTGGAGAAATTTAGAAATTAAAAAGTTCACGTATGATGATCATCTAAAGTACGTTGCAGCTGAGTGTACATCAAAATTAGCATGCACTACAATCTAAAGATACACCTTTATTTTGGATGAATACACTATTGAACGTGAACTACTAACAATTTCTTCAGAGTTATCTCGACAATTTCTTCAGCTGTCTTTGAACGTCGATAAAATTAGTATTATCACAAGTAACCATTCAATTACCTACCTCTTTCCTCGTGCGACAGTCCAGCCAACATCTGATAAAATATATGATAATTCTTCTCGTCGGGCAGGGGCCTAATGACCCTCGTTTGGTCCAAGAAGTAACAGTGTATCTTCGTCCTGTACAAAGCGCCGTCCGTAACCTGAACCTCGATAAAGTGACCCTACAGAAAGGAACATCTTAGTCTGGTCGATTTCTCAGCGTAGAGCGATCACAGAAATTTATCACGTACTATCCTAGAACTCTCGGAGTTGGTGGCCGTCTTGGCGGATCCTAGAGACCTGAGAACCGTGAAAGCTGCGGCCAAGTGTTTGAAGGCGTCCGTTTCTGGACCACCTCCAGCAACGTCGAACAATTGCCTGAGTAACAGCATCGAGGCGTACGTTTTTCCCGAACCGCTGGTCCCTGAAGAAAACACGGTTTTTTCCGATGCTATCGGCGAGCAAATTCGCTTCATAAACGTATCGGTTATTTACCAGATAGGATTATGGCTTGGGGATAACCAGTTTCCGATTGCTGTCGCACGGCTTCCTGAACGACTTTGTTCAACTGGGGCGCCAATGGTACGGTCCTGGTGCTCGTTAAGGTCAACGGATTCCCGACGTCCGTATAAGGATTGATACAGACCAGTATGGGGCCCACGTTCGTCTGAAATGCGTTTTGGTTATCTCGCTAGCACGATTGTCGCGGCGGTCGCCACTTTTGACGCTACAGTCGCAAGCTCTTTGCGGAGATTGATACTGGACGACAGTATCGCGTTTGTCATTATCAAGCTACGGGTGTTCGCGACTCGGGAACACCTTGCAACGAAAGCTCTAGCTACGGGAAGATTAATCGTGACCGTGACTCTGTACCGAGATAATCTTATTAGAGAGTTAATGACAGCGGTACCGACCAAGGGGACATTTATCTTGCTTTGAGATTGTACATAACGATTTGTTATCATTCGGTTTATATTGTTCCAGAAGTGCTCGCGAATTAAGGTTCGATTACTAGTCTTCCGGAAATTGAGACATTTAGGATTTTAAGGGCAGGGATTTGGACGGGATGAAGAGTTAGAGGTATTGCACATCTGTGAAAGGATTTTGGGAATTTGGAAATTTAGATATTTAAAATTTAGGAGTGGAGGAATTTGTGGAGGGAGGAATGTGGAAATTTGAGAATTTGGAAATTTGAAAATTTGGAAAATTGGAAATTTGGAAACTTAGGAATTTGAAAATTTGGAAAATTGGAAATTTGGAATTTGGAAGTTTTGGAATTTGGAAATTTTGGAATTTGGAAGTTTTGGAATTTGGAAGTTTTGGAATTTGGAAGTTTTGGAATTTGGAAGTTTTGGAATTTGGAAGTTTTGGAATTTGGAAGTTTTGGAATTTGGAAGTTTTGGAATTTGGAAGTTTTGGAATTTGGAAGTTTTGGAATTTGGAAATTTTGGAGTTTGGAAATTTTAGAATTTGGGAATTTGGAAATTTTGGAATTTGGAAGTTTTGGAATTTGGAAGTTTTGGAATTTGGAAGTTTTGGAATTTGGAAGTTTTGGAATTTGGAAGTTTTGGAATTTGGAAGTTTTGGAATTTGGAAGTTTTGGAATTTGGAAGTTTTGGAATTTGGAAGTTTTGGAATTTGGAAGTTTTGGAATTTGGAAGTTTTGGAATTTGGAAGTTTTGGAATTTGGAAGTTTTGGAATTTGGAAGTTTTGGAATTTGGAAGTTTTGGAATTTGGAAGTTTTGGAATTTGGAAGTTTTGGAATTTGGAAGTTTTGGAATTTGGAAGTTTTGGAATTTGGAAGTTTTGGAATTTGGAAGTTTTGGAATTTGGAAGTTTTGGAATTTGGACGTTTTGGAATTTGGAAGTTTTGGAATTTGAAAATTTTGGATTTGGAAGTTTTGGAATTTGGACGTTTTGGAATTTGGACGTTTTGGAATTTGGAAGTTTTGGAATTTGAAAATTTTGGAATTTGGAAATTTTGGAATATGAAAATTCTGGAATTTGGAAATTTGGAAATTCGAAATGTTGGAATTTGAAAATTTAGAAATCCACGAATTTAGGAATTTCAGAGTCTAGGAATCTCAGAATCTATGAACTTGAGAAGTTAAAAATTTAGAAATTTGGAAATGTAAGATTTAAGAAATTTAGAAATCCAAAATCCTAAAAATTAAAAAATTTAAATTTATAAAAATCCATGCAAATTTTTTAACCTCTAAATGCCCCTATAACCGCTTAAAAAACAACCCCCAAAAAGACCATAATATCAAACCAAAAATCCTCGACAAACATTTTCGCCGAAAGACCGCAGGCAAATATCTCGCCGTCCGTCATCCACAGGTTCGATCATAGTCTAGAAACGAGCAAAGGGAACGAAGAGTCGGAAATCGGGACAGTTAGGGCGGAGAAGATTATGGTAAGAAGGAGGAGGGTTGAAGGGAACAGCGAAAGAGAAGACGAAGGAGGTAAAGAGCAAGAGGGTGGTGCAACAGGCTACGAGCGGCCAGGCTTTGGCGGGCCTTGATTCCTATTAGAAGCCCACCTAGAGAAAGCAACACGCCATGGAACGAACAAAAAGGTGAAAAATGCCCGAAAGGTAAGTGGGGAGAGAGAGAACCGGTCCCATGTCGGGCCCCATGGGCTGCGATGCCCTCTCGATTCTCTCTGCTGCGAGCTTTCGAGCTGCTCGTATAAATTGCTCGGACTTAGATTATCCTGATGAATTTCGTTTGCTTCTTTTCTTATCGATATGGCAACTGTAACTCGTAAGTTTATACACTGGGTGATTTGTTTTAATTGGCAGTGTTGTCTTTCTATTTGACTTTCGATAAAATGTTTCAAAACATGTTATTTTGTTAACAAACTTATGTACACTTCAAGATTAATTGATATTTTGTGGAAGTCTAAGTTTATGTTCATATACAGGGTGACTCATTTTAATCCACACTATTGCCTTTCTATTCGACATTCAATAAAATGTTTCAAAACATGTTACTTTGTTAACAAACTTATGTACACTTCAAGATTAATTGATATTTTGTGGAAGTCTAAGTTTATGTTCATATACAGGGTGACTCATTTTAATCCACACTATTGCCTTTCTATTCGACATTCAATAAAATGTTTCAAAACATGTTACTTTGTTAACAAACTTATATACACTTCAAAATTGATTGATATTTTGTGGAAGTCTAAGTTTGTGTTTTTGTACTCATTTTAATCCATCCATACAATTGTATTCTAAGCAACTTGTCATTCTATGAAATTTTTAAAAATGTCTTACTCTATAACCAACTATAACAAACGCCTTGATTGACCCATATTTTATGAACATTTAAATTTGTTTTAATATACAAGGTGTCTCATATTAACCAATCCACATAATTGTCTTTCAAGTTCATTATTATAAAAAATATTTTAAAACATCTTACCCTGTCGACAAACTTCATCATAATATTTTATCAACATCTAAAATGTTCATAGGGTACTTCATATCAATCATTTCACTTTAAAACACTATATCAATAGTTACAACGAATATAAACTATAATAATAATTATAGTGTGTCAATCTCAGTCCCAACTTGATTACTTAATTCAACGTATAGTAATAAATAAATAAATTGCTAATAAGTAAGAATCATAAAAATGTTACAAGGCCTTTTATCAAAAACCGTATCTCTTTTCGTAGAAATCTTGTTGCAGAACGTTCGAAGCACCTTCCCCTTCATGGTCATTAAAATCGTTAACGGTATCTTGATTCTAGCAACGATCTCGACGCATCTCCGTCGCTGTTTACGAAGCAATAAATGCGTCAGAGAGAAGAGAAGATTCAAGATGTTACGAAGAAATCTTGAGAGGAAGCAGACACGATAGCGACGTTGGAAAAACATGAAAGAAAAGCACGGAAAGAGAAAATGAGTGTTCTAGCAGAGGTAGTCGTGTCGGAGAATCGTCGAAGAAGAGTATTATGAATCCGGAAGGAGCCAACTTCGATCGATGAAGAGAACATAAAGGATCAATTAACGCAAACATTAAGAGTACCCTTATAAATCTCTAACGAAGTACACGATGAATAATGAAGCTATCTTGTCTAATCGACCTCCATTTTTTCTTCTATTAATCTTCCAACTCTGCGTTCCATGGCACTTCTACCCTTATATCGCACACCTTCTTTCCTCAATATTTCATTGCTGTCTATGAATAGGATTATGTACGATTTCTGTCTTGAATTTTCACATTTAACATTATTCGTTCATTCTTAAAATTTAAGAAATTTAATAAATCGTTACATTTTCTAAATCTGTAAATTATATGACTTATGTTACAGATATCCTATCAATAGACCCTAATTAAAGTATTAAGAATTATAACAATTTTTAAAATTTGTACATTAACATAAAGTTGTATATTATGTTTATACGTAGAGTAAAAATTGTTTAAACTTTTTCAAATTTGCTCCTCAAATTTACTTTAATTAAAATTATTATAATTTTTTGACTAAAATTGTTATTTTAATCTTTGACTTAAATTATTATTCTCAAAAGTTGTTAATACTTTGGATGTTGCAAAGGTTGCGAAATTGTGGAAGAAACTGAAGATGAAAAGTAAGGTTTGGTACTCACGTGATACTGTTTTGCACAAAACCGAGCCTGCAAACATTTGAGCACCGCATCTTCCGTGAGAGGTCCAGGTAAGTGAATTAGGTCGTCCAAGGCCGTTGAGGTTACAGGCCCTGAGGATGCTGTGGTGCCTTTTGCGAGACATCGATGCTGACCCTGATTGCTCTTCGCGTTCTTTACGTCGGCGATGATGCTGGAAATAGGTGGCGAACGTAGACATCCGAGTGCTGTCACACAGGACACTATACCGTCGTCCGGTATTCCATTATGACGCTTTGGGGAATCTAGATCTACAAAGAAACACATAAAAATGTTAACCAACAAAATTACACAAAAACATCTGAAATATTACAAAGACAATTTTGGTTTTATATAATAAATTTCGATGTAATATTTTAATTTGATATTTACAAAGAAACACAAAAATGTTAACCAACAAAATTACACAAAAACATCTCAGATATTATAAAGACAATTTTGGTTTCATATAATAAATTTCGATGTAATATTTTAATTTGATATTTACAAAGAAACACCTAAAAATGTTAACCAACAAAATTACACAAAAACATCTGAGATATTACAAAGACAATTTTGGTTTTATATAATAAATTTCGATGTAATATTTTAATTTGATATTTAATACAGGTGTCAAAATTTTGATCTTAGTATTTGTAACCTTGCAAGTTTATAAATTTACAAATTTAAATATGATATCAAGTTTAAATTATAGATATTTAAATGTCTCTATATATTTGATATTTGATTCAAATTGTGGAGGAAAGTTTTACAAGCAAAAACTTCGCTGTAACATTACTCGGCCATATAGCGAGACTCCCATTAACTGAACCGAACCTAAACCAAGCCTAAAATCACCTAAAACGAACTATCCATTGAACTATAAATTGAACCTCCTATAAATTGAACATAATTTACAGTTTCTCTAAATTGCACGTGATCCAACCAGATCTTAATTCGCAGAAACGCAACCGGTAGTCATAAACGATTAAGTTCTAGCAAGATTCGAGGAATGTATAATTGAAGTTCGATAGTAGACCGTGCAGTGAACCCTCGAGGATCAAGAGGTCGAGAAACGAAAAACGAAAGAAGAAAGAGCGAGTGAACGATAATAAGGAGATCTCGATCAAATCGAAACGAATCGCGGTTAACTGTACACGCGTGCAATTTATCCGGGTCGAACGAGAGCTCGATTAACCGGAAGGAATTCGAGATCAGACGGGGGAGGGGGCTATCGAGTGAATAAACCGTTCTGGGCAGCACGGTGTGCGAACAGTTTTATTTTTCTCGTTGGCTGAAATCGCGAAGGGTCGCCCCTTTCAAAATAAACCATGAATCGTTCACCGTCTCGACCAAGTGATTTTGCTTTATTGTCATTTTTCAATACGGAAAAATTCACGCTGGGAACGGTAAATAGATCGTAAAACTTTGTAGAGGAACATGACCGCTCTGTAAATAGCCGCCGCATATCGTTCCGTTTGATTTTACGTTCGCTCTCGAGCTTCGATTATTTACAGCTTAAAATCTCGCATGTCTGCTGTTCAACTGCTGTAGCTTATTGCGAATTATCGCCTTAATGACGATATTACCGGTTGTTTAAATACGGAACGAATCGGTTCAATTTGTCCGGGCGTTTGTACGCGTGCCATTCTGTTATCGCATGAATAATTACGAAAATAATGCGATATTTTTCGACTACTTAATTGATTTATAGAATCAAAGAATGTTTAGGTTTATAGATTCAGAAATTTGGAAATTTTCAATCAAATTTAAATGTGATTTCCCTAGGGAAAATATAGCAATCAAAGATTGGAGACTTAGCAATATGGGGCTCTAGGGATTTATGAACCTACAAGTTTAAGGATATAGAAATTTGAGAATCTAGGAATTTAGGGATCTAGAGATCTAAGGACCTTGAGATTTGTGGGTTTAAAAGTTCATCAGCATAGAATTTTAGAATATTTAGAAACATGTGAACCACTTTGGGACCAATTTGAATATAGAAATTTAGGAATCCAGAAGAGAAAATTGTCCATATTTCATGGCACGGAATCCCATCAGCTTATTATCTATTTCTCTTCGGTGTTCGTGATCCGACGATCATCTCCGATCACCCACTGTGTCCCAACATGGCCGATGTTCCGGTGAAACGCGCGTATGCTGTACAGAGACGGGATACTGACCGGATATTAAATTATTAGCTGCGGTCGAGTTGTGGCCGAGCGTGTTCGCGCCGGCGTGATTGACGTGCGGATGAACGATCGCGGACGCCGTCAACGTGTGTCCCGAAGGATGACCGAGGCCATGGGGTAACGTGCCAGCCAGCGGTAACGTTGTCCTTGGGGGCACAGCGGGCGCAGGGGACGAGGGCACGACACCTTTTTCCGGGCTCTTCGAAAGGGGCGCGGACGCGGCTACGTTCGGCCCTGAATTGTTCGGCGGCTGGTTCACGTGCAGCCGGTTCCTCAGGGTCACCAGTTCCGTGCTCAGGCTCCTCAGACGCTGCTGTAGGTGCACCGCTTCGTTCGACGACGAGGCATCTGCAAAAGGCAAACCAGACTGTCAGCTGCGACCTTCTTCCCACACTTTTTCGTCTCTGGATTCGGGTTACGGTTACGATTAGGAGAGGGAAGCGTTTGGGGCAGCTTTACCGTGTGAAGTTAGATTTACAGTCGTGTCTCCCACATTGTCCCTAAGGTATCCTCACGTTGTACCATGTTGTCTATGCTTATTCGTTAGTGCTACGTCTATGGTTTGTTTGCCGAAGTCAGTCGAACGTGATTTTTGCATTGTCCATCAAAGGTTCCCTTACATTGTCTGTCACTGTAAATTGTACTCTCACATTGTACAAGTATAAGTACTCCCACATTGCCAAACGTAGGTTGTGATCTGACATTGTCCGTCAAGTGTAGACTGTATTCTAACATTGTCTATCAAACGTTCCCTCACATTGTCTGTCACTGTAGATTGTACTCTCACATTGCCAAACATAGGTTGTGATCTGACATTGTCCGTCAAGTGTAGACTGTGTTCTAACATTGTTCGTCAAGTGTAGACTGTATTCTCACATTGTCCGTCGAACATAGACTGTTCCCTGACATTGTCTATCAAGTGTAGGCTGAACTTTCACATCAGCTATCAAATATAGATTACACTCTCGCATTGTCTGTCAAGTGCAAACTGTACTCTCACATGGTCCATCAAATGGTTTCATTTCTATTTGAAGCTAAGGAGCAATGTGGGAAACATTACTGTATATGGGTGGAACAGTCCTAATGCAAGAATGAAACTTATTTTTTATTTCTTCAACCCTTTGCACTGGAAGGTGTTTTTGTCAACAGGTAGCAGCTTTATACTTTAATATTTTCTGAATTTTTTTGACGTTATTTCTCTATTATTATCTCTAATTATTATGTCTGTACATCGCATATGCAACGCTGTAAATTTAGTTAAAAAATACTTGATTCAAAATTTATTAAACTAAATGAATCTGAGTCATCTTTCAAGTGCAAAGAGTTAAGTATACTGCGAAGGCTCTCATGCATAAACGTCCAAAGATGAAATAATTGAAATATTTCCATAAAGAAGTGTATACACTTAAATCTGACAGACTGTAGAAATGGCTACTATGTACGGATTGTTTATGGAGTAGTAAACATCTGGTGCTGAGATGATACTGTTGGGACGCATTAGGAATATTGATCGATATGGTTGAGGTTAGACTAACGCATTTACTGTCACGCTGAAAATGACCATGGTTGGTACAACGTATTATAATACAAATTATTATAACAACGTTATTCGACTTTTTAGTAATAACTTCATTACAACAATATCCACACAGGAAGTATAATATATAAAGTATCACAAATTCAGAAAACATCGAAATTTCACAAAATGTCGTACCATCACTGATGTTTCTTATTTAAAGACAACGTATACGACATTAAATATGACTAACATATTACTCACAGATTACTTAAATATGACTAACAGAATATTCACCACCGAATTTTGTCGGATTTTTAATTCATATGTGGTCAATCATCTGTCAACCTAATTTTCGATCGTAACAGTCTGAGTTTGCTGTCGACTCCGTGGAGCCGCTTTAAATACAGCAATCAATGTTACCATTAATTAATATTAAATGCACAGTACAAATACCTTTGTGGCACACGATCTGTCGTTACACAATCCTTCTAATTTTCATATATGTTATTTGACGATTACAAAGTACACTTGTGCGAAATTGAAATTGCATATTGTATATGTACGGAAAAGTAGTTTGTACGTCACATGTGTTCAAAAAATTTATACGTTACATATGTATGAAGTTCATACATTACATATGTACAGAAGTCTATACATTACATATGCCAAAATAAAATATATGCATTAAAATTTACAAGGACGTATACATCATATATGTACGAAAACGAAAGTTATAGATCACACATGTAAAAAATGATATACGTCATATGTGAGAACAAAATTTATACACCACACATGAAAATGAAATTTATACATAATAAATGTACAAAAACAAGATTTATATATTATACTTATTCGAAAATGAAAGTTATAAATCACACATATATAAAAATGATATTTATACCTCATATGTGTGCGAGAATAAAATTTATACGTTACACATGAAAATGAAATTTATACATAATAAATGTACAAAAACATAGTTTATATATTATACTTATTCGAAAATGAAAGTTATAAATCACACATGTATAAAAATGATATTTATACCTCATATGTGTGCGAGACCAAAATTTATACGTTACACATGAAACTGAAATTTATACATAATAAATGTACAAAAACAGTTTATATATATATTATATTTGTACGAAAATGAAAGTTACACATTACACACGTAAAACTGGTATTCCCCCGGTCACATATGTGTAGGAACGAAATTTATACCGCATACGTGTACGAAAATAGAATGCATACGTTACACATGCACGAAAATAAAATTCATACGTTACACATGTACGAAAATAGAATTTGTACGTTACGCATGTACGGAAATAGAATTCATACGTTGCACACGTACTAAAATAGAATTATACGTTACGAAAATAGAATTTATATAGTACCTGCGTCAACAAAATGGCTGTAAGGACAATGAGAAAATTTTTGCGAATGTTTTAGGTACAAATGAGAAGTTCCGTAGGGATATTGTAGAAAGATAGTTCGTTTATTATTCAGTGGAGACAGTCCGCTAACAAACGGGTCGGACCCCGGCGATAAAAGGGTTATTGAACGTTTCAGCGAGCCGCGGCAAACAGTATCGCGGATTCGAGCCCGGGCGACCGGCTCGTTTTCTAAATGAATTATTTCTATACATAAAATGGCCGACCTGCGTTCGACGTGTGTACCGTACATTCCGTACACGTGAACACGTGCGCCCATGAGTCCACTTTTCACGAGGATCCGTTGAATTTTCCAGCGTGTCCACATTATCGGCAATTTACCGGCCGCTAAAGGCGCAACGGACGAGCCGTTTCGTTAATAGCCGGCCACACGGAAAATTACTTTTCGAAACGTACACCGGTACCGTGAATATTTCAGAGAGATTTCCGATCGTCAAAAATTCGAGCCTTCTCTCTCGCTCGACGCTATTAACCGTACATCGGCTACGAAGAATTATTTATTTGCTTTATGGCCAAACGACGCGCGGTTCATTGGCTATGGTCCGCGTGGAAATTTCCCACTCACGGTGGTAATGCGGTGGAAAATCGGAAAAGTACTGGGGAAATTTGGTGTTTGTATTATGTTGCACGTCGAGTTATTACGCGTGCGAATTTCTGCGAATAAATTATGGCCTCCGCAACAGAGAGCTCCCAAGTATAATATGTAGAGTAAATGAAACAATATGTGCAAAATTTTAAGATACAAATTTACTATGATGTTAAGATACAAATAAAGTTGATGTAATGTTAAAGTTACACATGTACGAAAATAGAATTTGTACGTTACGCATGTACGGAAATAGAATTCATACGTTGCACACGTACTAAAATAGAATTATACGTTACGAAAATAGAATTTATATAGTACCTGCGTCAACAAAATGGCTGTAAGGACAATGAGAAAATTTTTGCGAATGTTTTAGGTACAAATGAGAAGTTCCGTAGGGATATTGTAGAAAGATAGTTCGTTTATTATTCAGTGGAGACAGTCCGCTAACAAACGGGTCGGACCCCGGCGATAAAAGGGTTATTGAACGTTTCAGCGAGCCGCGGCAAACAGTATCGCGGATTCGAGCCCGGGCGACCGGCTCGTTTTCTAAATGAATTATTTCTATACATAAAATGGCCGACCTGCGTTCGACGTGTGTACCGTACATTCCGTACACGTGAACACGTGCGCCCATGAGTCCACTTTTCACGAGGATCCGTTGAATTTTCCAGCGTGTCCACATTATCGGCAATTTACCGGCCGCTAAAGGCGCAACGGACGAGCCGTTTCGTTAATAGCCGGCCACACGGAAAATTACTTTTCGAAACGTACACCGGTACCGTGAATATTTCAGAGAGATTTCCGATCGTCAAAAATTCGAGCCTTCTCTCTCGCTCGACGCTATTAACCGTACATCGGCTACGAAGAATTATTTATTTGCTTTATGGCCAAACGACGCGCGGTTCATTGGCTATGGTCCGCGTGGAAATTTCCCACTCACGGTGGTAATGCGGTGGAAAATCGGAAAAGTACTGGGGAAATTTGGTGTTTGTATTATGTTGCACGTCGAGTTATTACGCGTGCGAATTTCTGCGAATAAATTATGGCCTCCGCAACAGAGAGCTCCCAAGTATAATATGTAGAGTAAATGAAACAATATGTGCAAAATTTTAAGATACAAATTTACTATGATGTTAAGATACAAATAAATTTGATGTAATGTTAAAGTACAAATAAACTTGATGTAATGTTAAGATACAAATAAATTTGATGTAATGTTAAGACACAAATAAATTTGAGGTAATGTTAAAGTACAAATAAATTTGATGTAATATTAAGGTACAAATAAATTTGATGTAATGTTAAGGTACAAGTAAATTTGATACCATGATAAGATTTAAATATTATGATTTATATACTTCTTTTAAAATTATAACAAATAAGCTTAAATCTTCAGTATTATAAACTGCCAATGAAGAATGACTGAAATATTAATTTATGTGCTAAAGAGGGTTGTAAACTTATTAAAAGACATAGCTGCAGCACCCTAACTGAACCCAAGGAAACTTATCTATGAGAAACCTAAACTTACTTGACCTAAAATTAAAACCTAAAATTAATACTTGATGGACAAATATGAACCCAGGGAAATTGAAATCTAGGTAAAATATAAACCAAAATAAGTAGCTCTAAATGAAACACAAACCGAACAAAAATTTAAAACCAGAAATAAATAAAAAATCTAAATAAAATATAAAACGAAAAGAATGTAGATCCAAGTAAAATCTGAAGATATAAAAAATGCAGGTAAAAGTAATCCTAATGAAAACATAAACTCAGG